TAATACAAGTTAAAGCTAATCCCCTTATAAACTCCCCCTCTCTTGCAGATGAAGACAGGGAAAAATAACACATGGGGGAAAACTGGTAAAGCGGTTCAGTTGTCTTTATTCACAAGATATATTAAGCTGGTTCTCACTGATCTAAAGGCTTATTTTCAGTTTTCCTTTTCCAAATGCTTCCCCTCGTTTGCAAGAGGTACAGTGCAGCTGGTTCACTTATAAAAGCATTATGACTTATCAATTTAAAAAGTTACAAACCCTGCAGTTGCTGAAGGAAAAATAAACTGGTTTTCTTCAGGTTTAAAGCGATTTTTGACTGCACCGAAGAGAGAGACAGCTCCGGAGATCTGGTCATTTCTTTGTATATTGTCCCCAGTCTGCAAAGTATTCAGTTACTTGCAAAAGAATCACATGGTTGTGAGCAGGCAAAAAGCCTTTGTCATCACTAACTAGTCACTAGCCCATAGACCAGTGAACTATTTGTTGTCAACCAGAGTTCCATCTGAATAGAGAACCACCCCTGGCTCCAGTATGTTTGCAACCTACCGTTCAATTACTGCCAATTCTAGCAACTGTTTAAACAATGCTTGCCTCATGTGTCACTTTGCTTGCTTTTCAAAACATGCAACAACTTCTTAAAATACTAAACCGTTCTTTCTCATTTGAGATCACAGTTTACAAAAGCACAAAAAATAAAAATATACAGTCTTTACAATTAATTTTTACCTCAAACGGTCATAGTTTCACAGCAACCGTTCCTATGACCAGCTTTCAATTCCAGATTTTCTTAATTGGATTTAAATTTCACCAGTTACCATGGTTGAATTTGAACCAATATGCCCACAATTTCAGTCTGGGCCTAGACCAGTGAACTTAACATGACGTTACCATCTCCCTGACAAGGCATCAGAGGCAACAGTGTTACAACAACTCTTTCTAAAGCTCTAAAAATTCAAATCACCTTATCAGTGAATACAGAAATCCAAATAGAGCTGAGTGATTGCGAGACAACAAGGTGCAGGGCTGGATGAACACAGCAGGCCAAGCAGC